GCGGCTTTTCTTTGATCTTAATGTAATATCGCAAAGTTTCGGGGGGTTTTATTTTAAAAATGCGCCAAAATTTAGTAAATTAAATTATCAGTGCTATTTAGAAGCAATATAAAAAATGAAAAAGCATAATTTAGAGTATGCTTTCAAAATAGTTTGTGACTTTCTTTGTACTAAATCTTTGAAGGATTACCAAAAAGAAGCTTTAAAAGCTCTCAGCAATCGCAGAGATTGTTTTGTTTGCAAACCAACAGGATGACCAAACAGAGATATTAATGATCATTATTATACATTGTTTTAGTTAACAAATAAAGTTTTCCATTTTTCTAGAAAAGGTCTATTTTTTGCTGGGTAATTACCCTGAGAAATTATACATTTTTTTCTGAAATGTTGTTCATAAACTTTGGAATTTTGATTTCAATTTTCTGTAGAAAACATGTAAAATATTTTTTAGTGAATGCAAAATAGTTAATCATTTATTGAGAAATTTTTAATCTAAATGCATTTAGATAATTATGATATTTCATTATTATGATATTTCATTATTATATTTCTTTATGATATTTATGATATTTTGATATTTCATTATTAATTCTAAATGCGTTAATCATTTATTAGGAAATATTATATTATTCTGATATTGAATTTCAACATGCCTCGAATAAATTTTTTTTTTTGAATTAAGGAGTGTTGTTTATTGTTTAAAAGTATATACTATTTTTTTTAGATAAATTACAATGAAACAAATGTAATATTTTGCTCACGTGAAGCCATTGTAACAACTTATTGATCAATTGTCAATAACTCTGCTTTTAATCAGAAACTTATTGCAATTGCAGCTGACGAAAGCCATTGTGTGAAAAAGTGGCAAGAGACTTTGTTATATAAATAGACTGGCTTGTTTAGTAAACATTGAAATTTACAACTTTAAAGGGGAGTGGAAAAATAATCACTTGAGCATGCGCAGTTTTAATTCGGACAAATTAAAACTTATAAAACGCATGCCCACGTGATTATTTTTCCCTTTCCTTTCCCGTTCCCGTGAAAAAACGGATGAGTGGAAACTCACCTTTATGTCAGACCTTCTTTTTAGATATAAAATTTTTTTTAATTAAAGAATTTTTCTCATTGAAAAAAAAAAGGCATTACCTATAGCATTATATGAGCAAAATCTTGTGATTTACATGATTCTATTTATACCTTATTTGTCTGTAATTTTTATAGGGGAAGTTCAAGTACATAATCAGATGTATAATCATAATCTCATGATAATAGACTCAGAATTGTGATCACTTGTCCCTAAAAGGATTTCAGAATTGGCATTGACAGCAACTGCAACTAAACAAAAATGGTAAACGATAATTTTCGTTTACTCGACTAGATTATTTATTTATTAGTCAAGAAGCAAACATCGTAATTATTCTGAACTTATAACAGTGCTTTAACCAACTAAGCTATCTCGAACTTATAACAGTGCTTTAACAGGGTGGCCACAGCTCCTCTAAAATCCTCTAAAGTCCTCTTTTTTCAAAAACCTCCTCTAAAATCCTCTTAAAAGTTAAAAATATCATTAAATCTCCTCTTTAACTCCTCTTTTTTATTATTTTTTATTTCTTGATGGTAGTATAATGTTCAAAATTCATGGTCTGCAAAATGCGTAAAGTCTGAAATGAGAATTGAGTTGTAAAAAATCAATTTTAGCAAATCCATGTCATTTAACAAATAATGACATTGTTGACCCCTGTCCAAACCCCAGTTATGTGACAACAGGCATTAAATCTTAAAAAAAAATCCTCTAAAATTCTCTATTTTTATTCAGAATTATGTAGTTTTGAAAAAAAAATCCTCTAAATTTAATGCAAAATCTCCTTTAAAATCCTCTAATATCCTCTTTTCCTTATAAAAATTTTATGTGGCCACCCTGTTTAACCAACTGAGCTACCATTATTGATAATCTTTGTATGCATAATTTAGTTATTATATCATCTGCACCAGAAAGAAGAAATATTAAATACCAGATCCAGATAAATTTTTCTACCCAGTTGTTCAAGATATTCTTTTGAATACGTATTCAGCTGAAAGAACTTTAGTCTTTTCTACAACTTTGACTGATGTAAGATTAATTTATTGGTACTTTCACAAAGAACAAGGTCAAAAAGGTGTAAAATATAAAAGCTATCTTGATACACCATACGTTCAATTTCATTCCAAAACAGATTTTAATGATGAAAAGTATAATAATACAAAACAAAAATATAAACAACCTCTAAACTTGATCAAGCTTCATTTTTTTGTTCAAAAATATTCTACTATTCATTTTCTTCTGCTGTTGGTGTAGATATCAATATTTTTTGTGAGTTTTCTTTTAGAATTTCACGACCTCTTGAGATAGCATTTATATTTTTTTGTATTTTTGCTAATGTTCTTTTTACATTTGTAATTTACAAATACAATGATAGTTTTTTGAATAAATTAGTTTTTCATTTATGAAATTTCTTCTGTTATTTCTGTTATTTTTCCCTTATCCCATAGATTATTTTTCATAGAACCATCATCATAGGATGAATACTTTTGTGTGATATCATGAAGACATAAAATGCACACGCTTAATGAATTAGAAGGTAAGAAAACCTCATAAGGTTGTGCCATTTTTTTGGGCAATGGTAAAATGTTTTTTTTTTAAGCAATGAAACATTGTGATCATTGCATTGAAAATCAAACAACTTATCCTCTATTTGTTAAAAACTGGATACCATGTTGCAATATAAAAGTAAAGCAAAACTTATGAGTATATAAAAAGCAAAACAAAATGTTTGAATTTAATAAATTAAATTTGAAGATGATCTGACTGAATTTGACCCCACTTGCAAGAAGTACATAAATAATAAGTAACCATTCTATTTTTTAGATAAAAATTAAACAAGATACTATTGAATTTAGAATTAAAATTTAAAAACTGTAGAGCTGTAAACCTTAAAACTAAAATATTTTCATAAATAAATTGATTTTATAAATGATTTCGCGCATTTGGAGTAGTTAAAAGAAAAAATTAAATTTTAGTTTATACACCAATTATAGTTTATAAATTTTTACTTATATTTTAATCAATGATAGTAATGTTAAAGCATGAGCTGGTTAAAAAACACACTTAAATCTTAATCACAAAAATCAGAATAGCCTTGTAATTTTGTTGCAATAAATAAATCCTTGAAATTGGACTTTTAAAAAAGTTTTATTTTTTAAACTCAAGGCTAACTCAAAAATTTTGTAAAAATTTTTGAGTTAGCCTTGCTTAAACTCATATGCCAAGACGGACAAGATGTTTTAGGTTTGTAAGGTTAAATTTTTCCATTCAAAAGTGAGCTTATTATAAATTGGAAAGAAATTCAATTGGAGAGCTTCAGAGGCACATAATTTTTATACACGTTACTGTAGTAGCATTGCACAGCAATACTGTAGTAGCATTGCACGGCAATACTGTAGTAGCATTGCACGGCAATACTGTAATAGCATTGCACGGCAATACTGTAGTAGCATTGCACGGCAATACTGTAGTAGAATTGCCTGCAATGCTTTCGTGTTTATAAATGGACGAATCTAATTGCAAAATTGATATGTAGTCAAATCTTTGGAATTCTTGTACTTAAAAAAGAGATTTTGCTTTTTCGTTTTTTAAATACAAGAATTACAAAATTTTAATTTTTCATACATTGTAAACTTATAAATAATTTATTTTTTACCTATCAATAATTTATTTTATCATAACACGAGTTGTTTTTTAGTTTGAAAACCATCTAATATATAATAGGATATAACATTTCAATTGTAAACGATCTCACATAAAAAGTTGTAAAAAACCTTAATTACAAATGTTTACTTTACCAATGAAAAAACCCAAAACCACTTTTTTGTTCCATTGTTATTTTTACCTTACGTTTTTAAATATAAATTATTCTTTACACTTCGGTGTTAAGTAATTTGCAGAATGCTTTTATTAATAAAAACATGAATGTGTTCCTTCTTACCTGGATTTTTTTTTTTTTTTTTTTTTTTTTTTTTTTTTTTTTTTTTTTTTTTTTTTTTTTTTTTTTTTTTTTTTTTTTTTTTTTTTAAAAAAAAAGAAAAAAAAGTAAAACTAATTAATAAACGTATATAAAAATATAAGTACGAAACCTTGAATGTTTAATGACGCTTTAAATATTTTTTGTGAGTGAAAGTAAATAAACACATACAATTTCAGTACATTTATTTGAAGAAGTAGCTGTTAATGATGCTTTAAGTTTCATGTTTTTATAAGCTGCTTTTTGATAAGAACGCTTTTATTGTCTAAACTTAAAATTTTTCTTACAGCTTTAAGTTTGACTGATAGTTTTTAATAATTTCTTGATATAATACATATCAGAACTTTTAACTGTAAAACTGTGGACTGCATGAACTGAACAAATACGATTATTTATATACATAACATTATTATGCTAATTATAATTGTTTGTGTATGCTTGATTAATACAACATTATTTATGTAGGTTTAAAATTCTATGTATGTTTTAAAATATTATGTTTTAAATTTAGTCTTTTTTCATTAAGTAATCACAATAAAATTAATTTAATAAAAAATAACATCAATAGTAATATTATTAATAATAATAAAAATAGTTGTTCAATGTGTATTTTATGAATGTTGTATTTGAATAATAGTAATAATAATAATAATAATAATAATAATAATAATAATAATAATAATAATAATAATAATAATAATAATAATAATAGCAATAATAATAATAGCAATAATAGCAATAATAATAATAGCAATAATAATAATAATAATAATAATAAAATTAACAATAATACTCAAGTGAACAGTTTGTAATTTTAATAATGATTAGTTGTGGGTATTTTGTTGTTGTTGATATATTATGTAAAGTGTAATAATACTTAATTTTATTTATTCATTTTTAAGTTGATGTGTGTATACAATAATACTTCTTCATATTTAAGCAAAATGTTAATTTTTTTTTAGAAAATGACACTTTTTTGTATAATTTTGTGGATTGGTGTATTAGGAGTTATACATGCCCAGACAATTGCAGAGTGTTCAGATGCTGAATCATCTTGCGCTCGTTGCTTACAAAATCCAGCATGTACTTGGTGTAATAATGTGAATGGTGGTAGTTGTATACCGTCTGATACATCTAGTCTTTTCTGTCCAGAACAGTCATATCATATTCAATGTCCCAGCAATGAGAACAGTAATAATGAAAAACTTGAAAACATTTTTCAGTTGTTATCTAACCTAAAATCTTTTCAATCTCAACCAAAACCAAAACAATTCATTGAAAATTCATATAATTTTAATGCTGATAGTGAAGTTCAAGAAAAAGATACCTCCAGCACATCTGAGTTAACAGAGTTACTTCATAAACTTATGCTACTAAAACTTCTCAGAAAATTAAAGCAATCTGGTGGTTCTCTTAGTGATGATGAACGTACACTTTTAATAGAATTGACAAATTCTTCACCTGGCATTATAAAAACAACTGCTATAACACCAAGATCATTAAAATCTATTATTTCCCAACCCACAAATGAACCCCTTTTGCATTTGATAAATGACAAAGAAAATGATAAAACAATACAAATAAGTACAGCAATCAGTAATTTTCCCGATTTTTCTTCAAAAATTGTTTCAACTCCATCTAGTGTTATGTCTGAAAGACTTGCTTCCACTGTTCAATATTTATATAATGAAAAGCCATTATTACCAATAGATCATTATGAAACTGTCAATGTGGATTATTCAGAATCTGAAAACAACAGAGTTTTTAAGGTAAATAAACTTCAAACACTGAATTCTTTTATTTCAGAAAAAGAAAATGTTAACATTGTTTACTGCCCATTTATAAAAGAATCAAAGAACTGTAATATTAAAGAAAATTGTACATGGTGCAATACTATGGATAGTTGTATTAGTAGAACTTCAAATGATTATAAATTATGTGTTGAAAGCAAAAGCAAGATGACTGATGGAGAATTTGGTGAGTTTTTTTTTAACTTTATTCAAAATAATATCAACAGTTTTCCCATAAAACAAAAACTTGAAAGGTTTATATTTAGACTTACAAAGCAAAACTTGCTGCTCTGGTTCTTAAATCTGGTAGCTCCACCTCTTAAAAATATCTTAATAAGGTTTTTAAAAATATAATTATAAAATTATAAGTAGGTTTTTTCAGTTAGTGTGTTTATACTTTGAGCTATTTTTTGAGTTATTAAATGAAAAAAATTGATTCATTTTATAGAAATTGCATTTTCAGTCTTCCCATTTTCAAGAAATAATTGAATAAAAAAATTAAGTAATTGTAAAATGTAATTGAAAAACACAATAAGTTATTAAGAAATTGCACTATGTAATTGAGAATACATAAGTTGTAAATGCAGATGCACAATGTAATCTTATAGGTTATTCTAGAAGGTCTTCTTGGACATAAATTTAAATAAGTTAACATTACCGAATTTGGTAATGTTAACTTAACCCATATGGCCAACTTGGCCAAAGGCGGATCTAGCATTAAATTACAAAATAAATAAGAACTAAAAAATTAAAAATACAAAAAACTTTGTTTTGATTATCTGTGTTAACTTATTAGTTATCTCATTAGTTATCCTTAGTAACTCATTAGTTATCTTTCTTTTTAACCTTTTTTATTACAACTATCATGTTCCTTATTACATCTAATAATTTCTTATTTACAACTTTAATGTTTTCATGTTTTCAATTACATCTTGAAAAGGTACAGTCAAAATAGACTAAAAAAAGAGTCATCCTGGACAAAACTTGTAAAAAAGCAAGGTTTGGCATCATTTGAAATGTAATTTTATGTACTTTATGCAGAAAAAAAATCCTACAAAAAACTGTTTAGGAAAAAGTAGTCATAAAAAAATATAAACATTTTTAACTTATTATTATTTTTTTACAGTACATTTGTTTTAAAATTTAAGGAGATATTTAAAGGAAATAGTTTATAACTAAAAATTATTTCTATTTGAATAATAGACTCTGTTACCTATATTGTTTTTATATTTTTTAAGGGAAATGTTTTTTCAAAAAAAAAAAATTTAATTAGGTTATTTTGACTTTTTTTAACATAACATAAAAATAACTTAAAAACAATTGCTAAAACTATTTTAAGGACATTTGAATTACTTGTAAGGCAATATTAATAAAATGGTATACTAAATAGAATAATATAAACAATATCCATTAAAAACAAAATTTTAAGTTATTTTAGTAATAAAAAAGAAAAAAAAAATTTGTTACAACAAAAAAAAATAACTACTCTTGGTTTTTTCCAAAAAAAAAAATTAACTTTTTTTTATATACCAACAAGTTAATAGAAATTTTTTTTTTCCCCTTATTTGTTATTGAAATCAAGATATTGATTTGATTTTTCTAACTCCCCTAGTTGGTTCAAGGTTGATATCTAACCAGGTTTCAGTACCCGACCACATTCTTAGCATTATCCATATTAATACAAAGAAGAAATCTGCATATATCCTTGTATGTAGTATTGACATTTATTGCAGACAGTGTCATTGAAAGTGATGAAAGTGTTATCATACAAAGAAATGATGCAGTTTCTTTGTATGATAACACAGACTATATTAATGAAAGAGAATCTCATGAAAATATATTTGACATATGTTATAATTTGGGTCATTTCATGCCAAGCAGAGCAAATTTTTATGAGATTCCTTATGGACCATCTCAGATTTTTATTGAAACTTTTTGATTTTTGCATATATAAAGAAAAGCATGTTTTGAAAATTTTAGATCAATATCTAATATGGTTCTTGAGAAAATGCTATTTAAGTAGTGGGCTATTTTGCATGTAATTTCACTCTACAAGAAAAAAGGTTTTTTTCATCATTTCTAACAGCTAATAAATTTTGAACAAGTTGGTTTTATACTTCAATTAATTTAAGATAGCAAGTATGCTCTGGATTCTTTTAAAAGAACAAAAAATTTAAATTCTGGCAACTTAACTTTTTCCATAATGGTGGTATTTTTAAATTTTTTTTCTAAAGTTGATATTTTTATTTTAAGATTGAATTTTTTTGTGATTATAAAAAGCTTAATCTTAAAAACTAGTTCAAAAATACAAAAATCAAAATTGAAATCAAAATATCAAAATTGCCTGCTGATCTACACATGGTGGATAAATATTTTAAAAAAAATCAGTTGATTAAAGAGCTGCATTGAAAAGTTCAAATTCAAATTCAAATAGGTCATCAAAATGAGTTGGATCAAGATTTTCTTAAAATTCATCTGCGATGCAAAGCATCTGTTACCTAAGATGGCACTTTTTTCATAAAATTTCTTATTCGCATCAATAAAAGAGTATTGATAAAAACCAAAAAATAATGGGCATTTATTTATAATCCCAAAAGATAGTCTCTTAAATTAGTCAAATAAGTCAGGTAAATTTACTTATTAGTCAAATAATTATAATTAGTCAAATAAGTCAGGTAAATTTATAATCCCAAAAGATAGTCTCTTAAATTAGTCAAATAAGTCAGGTAAATTTACTTATTAGTCAAATAATTATAATTAGTCAAATAAGTCAGGTAAATTTATAATCCCAAAAGATAGTCTCTTAAATTAGTTAAATAAGTCAGGTAAATTTACCATAAAATTATTACTTTTTAAAAGTTAAGTTATTGTTTCATTTAATTTTATAATTCTAGTACTAATAAAAAAAAAATTTTAGAACTTTCTGAATTGGTAAAGCATTAAATGAACAGTGCTATCTTATCAAGTTTAAAAAAAGTAATTATTACCAAGAACTGTCTAAACTAAACCAAGAGCTTTTTTCTTTGAGAAGCAAAATAAATCCCATAGATTTTATTTTTGACTATCACAAGAAAATTAGCTTGTTGACGTATGAGAAGGAACTTCGAAGGTATTGTTGTAATCTTTTTAACAAACACGCAACGTAAGTGAAAATAAGTTTCAATATTTAAACTAATACCTTAATTTAATACAAATATATTTGGTAATAAATAAATGTTAAACAATATTTATTAATTATTATCTTTCCTTTGTAAATACTCTTAGAGTTATCAGTCTTTCATATGCCAAAGATTTTGGTTTAATTGGTCAAAAAATTTGCACTAGTTGCAGAAAAACCCTGCATTGCAAACATCATTATACAAAAGAAAATGACCTCCAAAAAAAGAAATTTTTGTTGACAACCTTACATTAAAAGAAGATCTGAATTTGAGTATTGCAAGTTTTGGATGCTCACTTCTCAAACATAGCGTAAGAGCTTTTACACAAAGACTATTGTGCTTGGTTTAAAAATTACTACACTTGGTGAAATTGAATCACCTTCAAAAAAATGTTTGAAAAAAAAAACAAATATTTAGACAATATTAAGGTTCAAATTAAGTCAAAATTTAACAAAACATAGTCAAAATCTGAAAAAAATCACACCCTTACACTCACTCCAGACAGTTAGTCAATAGAGAAAACTCAGAAGTATTTTTTGACTTTAAAAAGGTTATAGCACAAGCCAGAAAATTAAGAAAAAAAAGTGGAATACTATCAAAACTTTTTCCAAAATCGGGTAGAAAACTTAACGAAGATGTATTTACAGAGGTTGTTCAGTTCTATCAATCTTATGAACTTTCAAAGGTTTGTCTAGGAATGAAAGAGTTTGTTTTAGTTAAAGTAGATAATATAAAGCAACACATCCAAAATTGACCTTTTCTTTTCAAAAAAAAAACATAATTATCTTAAAGTTGGATTTTCAAAATTTTGTGAGCTAAGGCCCAAGTGGTGCATTCCTGTGGGTGGTGCTTCTGGTCTGCATGCAGTTTGTGTTTGCCAGTACCATCAAAAAAAAAGCTAAAGTAAAGCTCCATGTACAGAAAATTCCTGGAATTGCTGATTACAAAAGCTTATTGAAATTAATGGTTTGTAGCATTGAAAATAGAGATTGTATGTTGCATTGCTGTGATAAATGTCCTGGAAAAGAGGTTTTGTTAGATTCACACTTTTGTTACATTCACACTTTGTTTAATGAAAATGAAATTAGTGAGGTTAATTTTTATCAATGGCAAAAATCGAATTTTCAATGTACTTTGTATGTTTAATTTTGTAATGTAAATTTTGTAATGTATATTTTCAATGCATATTGTGTTATATCAGATCATCTGAAAACTGGAATAGATACTGTTCATTGCTTTATCAATAATAAACTTAAACAATTACAAACATTTGAACACATTATCTATTTTAGTGATGGAGCTGTATCACAATATAAAAAGTAAAAAAATATTATAAACTTATGCTACCATAAACAAGATTTTGACATAACTGCAGAGTGGCACTTTTTTGCAACATTGTATGGTAAAAGTCCTTGTGATTGAGTTGGTGGAATGGTAAAACATCTTGTTACATGAGCCAGTCTACAGTCACTTAACGATCCTATTGACACATCAAGCAAAACGTACAGCTGTTGTGTTTAACACGTCACAGGAATATTATCTATTTTTCTAGACAAAGTTTCAATAGAACACATATTACAAATTTCAATTTAGAAGAGAGATACCATTCTTCTGCTACAATACCTGGGACACGAAACCACCACAGTTTTATACCAATGTCATTTTCCTCAATAAAAATAAGAAGACTTTCATTTGATAGTATTTGCACTAATGTGGATTTTTCTACTTGCAGAATTTTCATTAATAAAATTTCAAGTTACACACCAGGAACATATGTGGCCTGCATTTATGATGCTCAACGGTATTTAAGAAAAATTCAGGGTATTTCAGAAGAGCATCAAGATCTTCATATTGAATTTAGGAAAAAGTCCTCTTTATGTAACAATTTTACGTGGTCATGCAGAGGCAAAGTTGTTAAAAAAGAGCCAAAATTACCAGACCAAGGCCAAGGCCAAGAGTTTTGAGGTCAAGGCCAAGATTAAGAGTTTCAAGACCAAGATGTACGCAAAGATTTTTAAGACTTAAGACTTCAACTTTTGCAATACATTAAGGCCAATTTTTTACAAAACTGTAAGTAAGTGCTGTGAAAATAAAACCACATTTTGTAAAAATAGACCAAGGTTATGTTCAGAATTCAACAAAATCAATAAAAAAGTATGTATTTTTTTCAAGGTTAAGGCCAAAACAATTAAAGCTAAGGCCAAAATTTTCAAGACCAAGGCCAAGGACTAACAACTCTGTGCAGAGGTGATTCCTGATGCATATTTTATGCAAAGTACAATTTCTTAAGGTCCAGTCTAACAGAGGAAGATTTTATAATATTGACTTAAAGAAATCAATGAGATTATTTTATTATTTGAAAAGTTTAATTTTTTGTGAATTTTTTTAATTTTGTTTGTCTTAAAAAATTTTTGTCTAAAAAGCTAAAAAAAAATTCAACTGAAATTTGAAGTTGTATATAAATAAATATTCTAAAGTTATATATAGACAAATATCTTAAAATATTTAGTGTAATATGTTTGAGTTTTTAACATTTGTAAATTTTTTTCATCACTACAATTTACAAATTACAAAACATTTTGTTTGTTTTTTATTTGAAAAAAAATTGCGTTATAAAATGGGGATTATAAGTTTTTATCTATTGGGATTATAAGGCTATAAGCATTTATATTTTTAAATTATTATTTTATAACAAATAACTTTATTTGATTCAATGCATTTATTTATTTCAATAACTTCAGATTTTTTCATGGAAAATTCACCTTAGAGACAATCTTTTGGGATTATAAATAATTGCCCATTAATTTTTTTTAAATTTTGTTTTAGACTACTTATCATATAGTAATGAAACATTCAGTAGCCATTGAAGAATTTTAAATTTAATTGGACTAATTATTCTAATTATTCTGCTATTCTAATCTTTCTGTCTATAAAGTTTTGTGATTAGGTTTTGAAGTGCACATTATTTATTCTTTATTGCTGGTGCACATCATTGAAATCTTTCAATGATGTTTACAATGACATCATCAAAATTGTCCTAGCACAACTGATAATGTCTCTGTTACCTACATTTTTCTTCCAATTTGAACAAAATCACAGGTCATTCCTACAATTTTTGGTTCTTCTTTTAACAAAAGTTTAAGTAAAGTTCTTAATAGATGGTAGATGGGTGGTAGGTGGTAGGTATTAGATATTGTTGATTTGATTTTAGTATAATAATAAGGCTATCATTTACTATTACTTTAATATTAATTTTAAAAATTTTCTTTAAAATCAATTCTAATTTATATAGGTGTTCTCACATATATTTTTTTAACAATACTTTGTTCCAAAAAACTTTTAAAATTTTTGAATGCTTAAAGCTGTCAATTGAATAATTTTTAAAAATTTTTTTGTAAAAAATGAAGAAATGAAATAATTTGTTTTTAGGTTTGGATACATGTTTATCGTTATCTAGCTGTAAAAAATGTGTTTCTAATGAAAAATGCTATTGGTGTGAGCAATCAAAAAGTTGTCATACATATCCATTCTTCGGTTTCCTACCTCAGTCTTGCGAAGGTGATTGGTATGTGAAGCAGTGTGATGTACAGCTGGCTGTTGTTGTTATTGTTCTACCACTTATGATTATATTGATTGCCTTGATCACATTTTATTTTTGCCTGAAATATTGTTACTATAGAAAAAAAGTTTTGCGTGTCCCATTATTTGAGAAACCTGGAGTTTTTGATTATCGTAAAGACAAAAAAGTCTACTATGTTAACCCAGATGATGAGTCAAGCACTGATGAATTTGCAGCTGAAAAATTTAGAAAAAAATTTCGACTGCCGATGGAAAGAGAACCTCTTATTGATCCAAACACTTAATTTATGGTGTTAAGATTTTTTTTTGTAAAGTATGTTTAATATTACCATAACATATTATTAACAATATATTGGAAAATATTTTGCTTATTAGTTTTAAACAACATTTCTTTAGTCAAATTGTGTTTGAAAGTCATTTTTATTTTTACATCTATTAAAGATCTCAATGTACGTTAAATTTTGTTTAACATAAAAATATTTAACATTTAATTGGTTTTTTTTCTAACTCCTCAATTGATTTACTTTTTATATGTTTTGCTATTTTTTTATTTCTTTTATAGATAGCTTTTTTTTTTAATATTTCGTTTTGCTATGTGACCACTTCAAACTTTACATTTTTATAATTTTCAATTCTTATATTTAAACATTTCTTTTTATTTGTTTATTTAAACTTTTTTTTTTGTACATCGTTAAACATATAGGATATAAGCGGTTTTGTGTATACTTTGAATTTATATCTTCTGTTAAGATATGACGTTTATCACAACAAATGAATTTCAAAATGTAGAAAATATAAATCAAAGTATAGATGTACATATATATATATATATATATATATATATATATATATATATATATATATATATATATATATATATATATATATATATATATATATATATATATATATCATGAATACATTTAGAAATTTATAATGAAATGTGTGTGGTGGGACTTTATACTTAAAGTGTCTTTTGTTGACATGACATCAGTAAAATAAAAAAAATTTAAAACATTATATGTTTGTTTTAAAATATTAGGAAAAAGAAAAGAAAAATAGTTATATTTAAAACTATTTGAATATTTTATTTGTAATTAAGGTAAACTTTGCTTGCGTAAAAAGTGTGTCAAAACTTTTTCAACAGGATTTGTAATGTATGAAGACGTATAGATGTGTATGTATGTATGTATGTATGTATGTATGTATGTATGTATGTATGTATGTATGTATGTATGTATGTATGTATGTATGTATGTATGTATGTATGTATGTATGTATGTATGTATGTATGTATGCATATATGTATGTATGTATGTATGTATACGTATGGATGTATATAATATATACAAGCATATATATATATATATATATATATATATATATATATATATATATATATATATATATAAATATATATATATATATACATATATAAATATATATATATATATATATATATATATATATATATATATATATATATATATATATATATATATATATATATATATATATATATATATATGAATATATATATATATATATATATATATATATATATATATATATATATATATATATATATATATATATATATACACCTATTTATGTAGTATTATTATATATGTATATAGTATTTTAAATTTTTTATTTATCTAAATGATTTTGATTATTACTTTATGAAATACTATCATTGTCTAACTCTTTATTATGGAGATATTGTTGGAATTTATTAAATAAAATCTATAATTACTTAAGCGTTTGTTTCTTTTAAAGTGTTTAAGCGTTTAGGTAAAAGTCTTTTATGATAAATTGTCAAAGAACTTTCGAAAGTAATAAAACTTTTTATACTGTGAAATGGAATAAATTTAACTTTTTTTAAACGATACAATGACAGGTTTAAAGTTGCTTTATTAGACTTAGACTTTATTAGACTTTATTAGAATTAGACTGAAGAACTTGCTTATTTAAAAAAATAAGATTTTACGCATTGAGTGAAGTCTTTGCTAGGTGTCTTTGAACTGTATTGCATTCACACTAGGAGTTGAGTAAGCAATTTGTTTAAGTTTTCTAATTAACTTTCGAAAAGTTTTCTAATTAATTTACGAAAGAAAACATTTTATCAAAGTAAGAAAGGTTAAAAGTATAGTTTTAGGAAATTTGCCGTTTTGCCTTTACAACTGCCTTTGCCTTTACAATTTGCCTTTAATCGCCTCCTATTTGTTGCTCTTGTCGCCTAATTGATTATTTTACCTCTTAAAAATTATAAAACCATCAAGTTGTTATATAAAGTTTTACTTTCCTTCGAGATTACTTTCGACGCAAAATCAAAAGGTTCCTTTGTTTAATGATGCGTCAGTATAGTTTTTTACTTTCTACATGAAATATATATATATTTTTCCGGATGAAATATATATATATATATATATATTAACATCATCACTTCAACAAAGCTGCAAACAACCACTATTAGAGTTGGAAGTTATTGGAAAAGAAAAGATAAATGCAATCATAAATGCAGACATGAATATGGGAGATTACGAATATACCTTCTTTTTAGGCACTGATTCAATCCCCTTAGATATCCCGCCAATTATTAGTAAGTATATTAATTTTTGCTTTTAAAGAAGCCGTGCCATTGGGGTAAAGTGGGACAAGTGTGAGTAGAAATGGGACAAATAAGTTTAAAACAATATTTAAACACATTATTAAATATAAAATGATAAAATCATAAAATCACCTCATGGACATAAAAATGTTCAAGAGCTTGCACCAGTACCGGATCAAGTGGGGGGGGGGGGCTTCGGGGCCCCGCAAATTTAAGGACTCTTAAAAATTTTAGAGGACGTTTTTTTTTTTTAGTCATTTTTAAGCTCTAGCCCATAAAAAGACCTCCAAAAACAAAAATAGCTCTGGGCCCCAAGAAGTCTTAATTCTCCACTAGCTTTCACCAATCAAAATGACCAAATGGTGACGGGAAAAAGCGGGGCATAAATATTTCTTTTTCTGCCCCACTTCACCCTAATGTAAACACTGTTTTAAGGTACATTTCAAAATTAGGCCTTCTAGTACACGAAGGGAAACAAAGCAATTTCTGCTAAATAGAGGGGAAGAAATTTAGTTGTTTACTTTAAATAACAGCATTTAGGCACCACTCCTAATTAGAAATTCCAGGTTGCCCCACATCTCTTGCGTCACACTTCTTCCCAATCTCTCATACTTAAATAAACAAAGTAAATAATTGGTTTAGGGCTAATAAACTCTTACTTAACTCAGTAAAAGCAAACTATATAATATTCCATAAAAAAATGCACAAGAAGAAGACCTTCCTCATAAGATGCCTGACCTTATCTTAAATGATAAATTAATTAAAAAACAAGCCAGATTCGTAGGTATTTTTATTGATGAAAATTTATCCTGGCTTCCTCAAATAAAATATATTCAATTTAAGATCACCAATATAATTGTTATGATGTATCGAGTTCGTTCGTATATCAACAAACAAAGTCTCAAACTAATATATTATGGAGTTATGCAATGCTTCATCAGCTATGCAAGTATATCATGAGCAACTTCGCAACCATAAAAATTTAAATAAATGTATAGCTTACAAAAACACAATCATTTACTCTAAAAATGCAGAACTATTTACTCTAAAAATAATAGTGAACACGTTAAACCTATAATAAAAGATATGAAAAATCAACAATCTCTCTTGTGAAACTCTAAAAAACAAGTTTGAAATAAATAGAAAAGAAAACTATTATCTAACAGCAAATAAAAGTAAAACATATTAAGTGCCTCAAAACTTTAATAAATATAATGAATACAACATTGTATATCGAAGACCAAATAAATGGAATTTTTACCACTGTTGTGTGGCAACATCATTAAGTTCATTTAACTTTCTAATCAAAAAAGAAATTTTTAAAATTTTAAAAATTTAAGATTCATTAGTGTTTGAGTAACTCAGTAGTTAATAGGTTTTATTTTTTCAGTTTTTTTATTTTTATTGGATTTACTGATCAGCGCTCAGCGCAGCAATTTTAATGCCAATTAGGGTATTTAAGTTAATATCTATATTCTATTGAAAAAATATATAGGGGTCTATGAAAAGATTGCGATGACGTATTGTCATCTTTATCTACTTTGAGCACCTGTCTGGTTATTTCTTTAATTTGTAAAGATCATTGTAAAATAGAAAAAGTTTATATTTTATATTGTAAATACAAAAATGGTACATGTTGACAAGATTTTACTGTGATATATATATATATATATATATATATATATATATATATATATATATATATATATATATATATATATATATATATACATAAATGAAATAAATAAATAAAAATAATAAATAAAATAAAGTTTATATCATCGAATTACATCCCGAATAATAGTAGCCTTTGTTTATTGATGCGTCAATATAGTTTTTTACTTCGTACGTACAATTTTTATTTTTTAACATTTTCACTGGGGATGGCTTTTTTAATTACTTTTTTTTTACTTACACGAGTAAGTTAATTTTCATCAAAATTACATTAGTAATTTTAAACGTTTAAAGGCGAGTTTCCACTCATCCGTTTTTTTACGGGAACGGGAAAGGGACGGGAAAATAATCAAGTGGGCATGCGTAGTATAAGCTTTAATATGTCCGAAGGAAAACTACGCATGCTCACGTGATTATTTTTCCCTTTCCTATCCCGTTCCCGTGAAAAAACGGATGAGTGGAAACTCACCTTAATGTAAATTTACATTTCCGTTTGAGTAATTAATTTTTTTGAAACGACTTTTGCTTTATAATGTAAATTTTTTTACTTTCAAAAGTAAGTTATGCAAAAGAAGATTACATCAAAAAGTAATTTACTTTTACATGTAAAACTAACTCGTGTGACTTAGTTTTACATGTAAAACGAGAAACCTGTTTACTTTTATAATTACTTTTGAAAATTACATTGCATAATATAAAAGTTCCTCACACTGTAATCTACATTAACTTATAGAAGTGACTAATTAAAAAAAGAATTATGTTAAAAAGTAACTTGCATATAAAAGTAAATTACATAAAAGTAATACGCTACCAAATGTAAACTAAATTTACAAATAAAATAATATTTTTTAAGTAGGAATTTTTTATATTAAAATTTTTATTATAAAAATTCTTTATTATAAATAAATTATATGAAATAAAATTTAAATTACATAAACTTACATTTTATATAATTATAAAGTTAAAAGTAATTTTTATAAAGTAAGTAAATAAATTGACTTATATTTTACATTAACTTTAACAGGATTTTGTACAAAAGTAATGCAAAAAAAACCTTAAGGCACTAACATTCAGTTTGCCGCAACATTTGATTTGCGGGGTTTTAGGTATTTCTTTCCTGTAAAGTTTGAAAATATCAATAATAGGTTTCCGCTCATGATTAAAACCCCCGGTTCCGGTCCATGATGGTTTTAGCTATAATAAACATTCTCTGGATCAAACCGTCTCAAAAATGTTCACTTTCTGGCCAACGATTCGAAAGGTCTGGAATTTAGACATATTTGAAGGCATTCTTTGATTTTTTTACCTCCATATTCCCCCATTTTTAACCCTATTGAAAATATGTTTTCTGAATGGAAACAGT